TCTAAATGCTTACATGTCACAGAATGATTAAAATTGTTAGGTTAAGACAGAATTTGCAACATTTATATTTATTTTCTTTTTTCCATTTTCCAGATTCGACCAATCAGAGCACGCTCAGGGTGCAAAGGCCTTTACAATACTCGACAGCCCTGCTGAACATCATAGTTATGTGCAACGCGGCTCACCAACTCAGACATTTAAGAACTTTTAATTCAGGCTGTTTATCCAGCTGAAAAACAAAATTCCCGTCCCCGTCTGTGTCCCAGTATTGGGCTGACGTGGAGCAGACAGTAGCTTCAGAAATTTCCCTAAACCCTAAATTTAGGGCATTATCAATAGAAACAGTAGCAGTGCTGTAACACTGTGAGTGTGTTACTTCTGCACGCACAAAATCATTCTGATTTATTCTCCAGAACGTCGTTCCAGAGCTCAGCTGTCTCTTTTCTCTCAGATGTTTTCTTATCTTCTCCTTCGGTGGTGAAGTGATGTGCGTCTTGATGTAAACCCTCAGTTGTAACGTTTGTGAAACAGCTCTTGACTGTAGACTTTGCCAGTAATGTATTCACCTCCTGACTTGGTTAGTGTGTTTTTTGTTCTTTCTTCTTGATTAATCAGCAGTCGTCCACTTCAGCCGTCTGCCTCCTTCACTTTCATCAAGGCGTCTTCATGTTACCAAACACATTTTCACTTAAAGACGGAAAAGTTAATTCCATTTCTCCATCCTGTAATATTGATGCATTTAATCAGTCCAGTAGTTTCAAGCCCGTAAATATAAAATTGCTGTAATTGCATAAAAAACCAAAACATAACGTGTACACTTGCATCATGCTACAAATGCACACTGCATTAGAGCTGCTCTCTCCAGCCTCAGTGTTGTAGACTATCGACATGTTATCAGTGCAGCTGCGGCAGCTTTGCACTTCCATGCTGATAGCCACTTCATCTGCTTAAACGTCTCCCTGGGGCTATTAACAGCAATGGCTCGAACAAAAAGAGTAAAATAGGTCACCACTTCAGATAACAAAGCTGATTTGCTCGATAACTTTTACAGTAGAGGCTGTAATACATTGCACAGCCCCTTCAGCTGCAGTCTATTAGTGTTGATGAGCACTTTCAGACTCTAACTCCCATATTGCAGTTGCAAGTTGTGTAACTCATCTTCTTGCTTTGTTTTCAGTATCCAGTTTGTCCCTGAAGACAAATGTTCTCCTGTATAGTTTCATGTTGACAGAAGACAAAATGGACTTAAATGTTCAGGGTTTGTGTTGTTAGCACCGCTGTGTGCCCCTCAGCTACACGCTCCTGTTTTCTGTCCATCAGATTTGATTTAAAATCATTTACTTACTTTACCTCACTGTGACATCAAAGTCCTCCAAACACAACTGATGCATGAGCGAGAGAGAGAGAGTGAGCAGTGTGTAGGTTCATGCTAATGTCAGCATGCTAACATAGTGAGTAGGGGTGGGGGAAAAA